TCCGAAGGATGATTATTTCCTGAATCCCCATGATACAGCGCTTGCATGTCTCGTATGTAGGGGCTCCAACTGTCGACGGTGGCCATCCATTTACCATCGTTGGAAACACTGATGTGGGTAACGTCCGGAGTAACTATGTGAGAGCCATCAGGGCCAATCTTCAACGTAGTCGCGTTGGTGCGTGCAAGAGCTTGACGGGAAATATGGCTGTTGGTACGGATATCGTAGGTTTGAAGCATGGAGGCATTGACCAGGGGGTGACTTTCCTGAGTCATCTGACGGGAGGCGGGGACAGCTATAATAAGGTGATCGAGGTTCTGTGGATGCATTGCAGCAGGAACACACTCGAACAGGGGCTGGTCTTCAGGTGAAATCTTGCCATGAGCCTTTGCAGTTTTGGGACACAGCTGCAACCCTGTTATGGTAGAGAAAGGTTGTAATTCTCTCGCTGACAGGACAATAATCGAGTTGTCCGCTAATTTGACGGCATATAGATTCCCGCTTGTAGATATAACTATGTTGCCGATCGGAGACGAAAGATGAGGCAAAAATTGTTTTCTACCGGTGTCCAGCTGCCAGAGCACCATGACCGATTCATGGCCACCTGTTATGATGTAGTTTCCTTTCGTTGAACAGGTTCATCAGTGAAATTGTCTCTATCTTAATGTTCTTGTTGGGAGACCTACCATCCTTAGACCAACGCACGCTGTTCACAGAACTCCTATGCCAATGAAGGCGCCGAGGAGTGAGGTTTCTTTCATGTTGACGACCTCCCTCATCCTTGACAAAACGCAGGATGTCATAGTATATGAGAATAGAACCATTTCGTTCACCTAAGACTAGATCGACCTTTTCCGCATGATCCCGATCTTTTGACCCCTGCGCTCCAGGGCGATTCGACGCTGTGTATTGCCGAACATCAATGCACATGACGCTGACAGGCAAGTTGACCTCTTTCCAGATATAACGAACAGAATCGGAAGGCTGAACAAGCCCTGTCCAGCCGAAAAACACATGCCGGTCGCTGTATGCTACAATAAATTGGCCTTGGCATGCAACCTTGAGGTTAGTGATCTGAACATGTGTTTCGAGTATAATCATGTACTGTGAGGCGTCGTTAGGGGAGGCATTGAGCGCGATCACACGTTTTCCATCCTTGCGTTCCAAAATGAAAAGCAATAGATCGTTCCCAGAATCACTAAGGCACACGTCGACAGAAATCGTCTTGTGACCTACTTCCCAAGACGAGCATTGTTCGCCAGAGAGCCACTCCCACTTGGTCACAGAACCGCTCAACGTAAACACATAGAGGAAGTTTGGGTTTGCCGGAGAGAGTTTATATCCAGTTATGCTATCTCCAGCTGTTGATGGAAGTGTTCGAAGAAGGCGCGAAGTCGCAAGAGAATAGACATGGACTGCAGTCTCGAGACCAAGGAGGAGATACCTAACATGGAGAGGAGCTTAGAATACTTTTCAGTTGCATGGTAGGCATTCAACTTACTCGTCATCACTCGTAAAAATTGGATCTAGGTTGCTGTACTGACCAGCTACCATGCTGGTAGACGACCAAGTTTCATATTGCGGTTCGCTTTTCTGTACAGTAGACACAGAGCGGGCTAATGTACACTGCTCTTCGACCCCATGCTTTTCCTTTGAGTTGCTTGTGGCTGGCGTGTGCGCCTTATTGATATCGTTCTTGCTTTGTGATGTGCGACGTCGCTTGACTCGTGTATCGTCAATCTGCATTGTCTTTCCTAAAGCCGCATCGCCAACTCGGGATCTCTTTGACGGTCGTTTTGGGTCTTGAGTATTGCGCATTGGTAAATTGATATGGAGGAAAAGGCAGAAATCTATAAAAAATCTGATGAATTGTGGTAAAGGCTTAGAGACTCCAAGGCTCCAATGTTAATCGTCCATACACTGTTGTAGTAGGGTCGATAGTGTTGATGACGGCCTGGCCTACAAAATTCCAGTCCCGTTGTCTACTTTTTTTTTTTTTATCATCCTGTCAGGTGCGGTCATTCCCTTTGTAGAATAGCGGTAATTTAACACTAAGAAACAGTAATATATGCGGTATTTTTGGTTCTAGAAAAGCAACAAGTGGGGCTGCGGTCTAGTGTTTGTTCAATCGGAGCACGTCTCGGGCAATTTGATGGCAGACAAAAACTGCACTCATTGTCTTTGGCGAGTACCAGCAATAAGGGACCAAGACAGAAACATCAATTCCTACCTTTCTCCGGCTGTCAAGATTCCAAACGCTTTCTGATAAATCTGACTCCTCTATACTTAATTTACCAACAGGAAACGTTTTCTACGGAAGAAACAATCAGACCAAATGATCATCCCCGTCCGCTGTTTTTCTTGCGGCAAGGTACGTGGCACTTGATACCCTATTGCGCTTCTCGAATCTCATGCAACGTAAATTCCAGGTTGTCGGAGATCTCTGGGAGCGTTATCTCCAACTTCTTGATGAGGGTATACCCGATGGGTAGGTATTGGTAGTCGAATTTCTAACTACGGCGACAAACTAACTGGAGCTTGAAAGTGACGCCATGGATCAGCTTGGATGCAAGCGGTATTGTTGCCGCAGAATGATTATGACTCATGTCGATTTGATAGAGAAACTCCTACGGTAAGTGAACCCCTGGCTGGAAGTACATGCACGTGGGAGCTCATATTTTCAATAGGTATAATCCTACTGAAAGAGACCGGGCGAAGAACCAAATATGAACACGAGCTTTACTCGCACATCCATAAGTGGAGGAATATCTCTGTTGCTTCCTCATATGGTGCAATCAATACATTCACGACCTTGTACAGAACCAGAATCCACTGCCAGAGATCGTTGGCCTGAATGGGTTGTTTGCTTGCATGGCATTGCTAGAGGATGGACGGTCTATATGTTTCATCTTTCTTCTCTCTTTTGCCACCTCACGCTTTGCTTGGTTTCTTCCTGGACTTTATGAAGAGGTCAGCGTTTGATCTGGAGTCATATAACGTCTTGCCAGCTCTATCACGGTGTGACACATGTTAACCGAAGTCTTTGAGCACGCTGATTGCACTCATACTTATGGCTATTTCTGTGTCTGCGGGTGAAGATAGCTACATATCCCTGCGCTCGGCTGCTTGGGCCAAATTTGGTCTCATGGGTGAAATATGATCGAGTACGGAGTAGCGATCATGTATATAAGAGCAGCTAAACTTTCATTATCGACTTCACGGTTTAATCGAACGATATCTATGAACCGCGGGGGCCAGTATGGCAATATTTTAAGCCTAGTGATTATATACATTGTTCAAGTACCACTGACAGGTTACACTGGCTGGGCTGTAGGTAAAGCTCATCTCAAAATGGCATCTGGCCTGATCTGAAACAGTACTGCTAGTGCCTATCGACCGCAAATACTCGTGATTAGCGGGAGGACGAATGGGATCAATCGCTGCGTGAATTACCGGCCAAAGCTCTTTATATATAAGGTGCTCCGGGCTGATAAGCCATGTAAGTGCGCACGGCGGGATCTTTAGAGATAAGAGGTGGAGCCGTATAGCTACTGCGTGATAGTCTAAGTCAAACCTAATCAAACAGGTGTGCCTTCTTTGCGCCGTGCTTCGCTCACTGTCCGTCTCTGATTTGTCGAGTGTAAGTAGTACTGCAGTCCCGATACTTCTCCTGCCAATCGCATAACGAAAAGCGAGCTGGTGAAGGCACAGGGCACAGTGTGCAAATACCAGGAAACCGCGCCATTGGGCAGCTGTCTGTTGTTCTGTTCACATGATGGTAGGCTAAATGCAAGATACTACGGAGTACAATAGGCTAAGATCGTAAGTGCGTGTGGAAGCGCCGAGTAGTACGACCCCATAACATCCATTGTACACGGACCAATAATAAGCCGGGGTACCCCACCATAGTACTACTTACTACACCTACAACTAGTACTTATGGCCAATGGCTGTTTGTTATCTAATGCCTTGGTCAAAGGTCACGATTCGTTGCTCATCATCACACTCCAGCGGCTATTTTCCAGTACTGGTTGATGATATGCTTCGTATGCTCTCAATAAGATTGTGTTTTGTGTTCTTGTTTGTCAGTTCAAAACCAAGGGACTTCTAAATTTAATCATTGATAATTCATTATTCCTCGAATGCCATCTATCCGGCCAATACAAAGTGGTCTACGCGGAGTAAGCACTCGAACCGTACATGTCGTTGCCTTTGCATGCTTGTCTTGGGTGATAATCTGAAAAGATCAGGGCAATCAATATGTGTGTGCCACATACGAATTTACTGTAGCAATGAAGGGGCTGGAAAGCCTGTACCTCGTACATGATAGGCCTACCAACTAGCCTCATGCATAGCGTATCACAGGCTAAGCTCACTAGGAACAGGAAGCGCGGTACTATCAGGTATTATAGAGCACCCTTCAGTTAGGATGAGCTCAACCCCGCTGGCGTTAGTCAACCAACCGACAGCACGGATACTAACTAATTACTATTCACCTTCATCCGCCTCCACTAAGCTTGGACTCCTATGCGCCATGAGTCGACCTCAACTCGGATTGCTAAATCAATCATCATAGGCCACAACATGATTATCATTCTGACTCCCTTGTACGAGGATTGGACATTCATTGCTCGTATCTTGCTTCGCGAATAGTCTTCAAGATGTAAGTTATAAAACACGTTGCCAACCAATATCTATGTTAATCATTCCAGGCCCGACGGAAGTATAAGCAGCTCATCTGACGAAGGGGTAAAATACAGTGAAGAGTCACTTTCAAGACCCAATCAACCTAGCCACACTAAAAAGTCGGTCGTCAATGATATTCACATATCTGACACTCGACCTAAAGCAGTGCCTCCGACAGCAACAACCCAGTCGTCGCACACACCCAATACCACTAGAACTGAACTTACAGTATGTGCAAGTTTCTCCGACGCAAGAGTGATTAGTATAAATCCGAATTTTACATTGACTTTAGATGTGTTGGTAAGATACAGCCAATGAATGCGTTTTCCAGCAGCAACCCAACAAAGTCGGATGAGGACGAGCCTCCAAAGTCTGTGATACATGCACCTACTGGGTTCGGCGAGTTTGTGAGTGACCACCATCCAATGCACCTCATCTGCTGTGTGAACTGCACGGTTAACTATAGTTGGTATAACAGGTAAATGGCGTGCAATACTTTAGCAGCCCTTCACAGTCAGATGGAGCAGAAACCTTAGCATCAAACGTGGTGGCACCTCCTTCCGTGAGCACTGGACCTGAACAGTCGGCCAAGGTACTGATCCTCTGATCATTGTACATGGATGTACTGACGGGCATCAGGAGAATCAATATGGTCCGACATCACCACCGCCGCTGACTACTACATCGATTCAACCAGCCAGAGACTGGTTTGAACGAGCAACCCCACGTGCACAAACAAGGCAGGAGTTCCTCGACATTAGTAAATATGTCCATTCCACCAGTCATAAAGTATCAGAAATGGCCGTAAATCACTGCGAGGAACAGCCATTATTCACCAGGCCCTCGGTCAATAGAGAACTGGCTTCCTCAAGAAATGCGAATGCTGAAGAGGCTGGCCCACATACAAATGGGAAACCCGAAAGTCACCACTCACAAGTTGTACAATTGTCTGATGAAGAATCAGAGATTCGTGCTTTACAAGTAGCTCTGGCTGAATGCTGGGCTCTGTGCAATACACTGGCAACGCTAAGCTCCATACACCGTGAACGTCATGGATGCACTGTGGATACTCGGGAGGACGTCTGGAGATCGTGCTGGCGATTGTGCCAGGAATTGTACGACAGTCATAATGATGATCGTGCACCGCAAATCAACCCAACGCTTGACCTTTGCAGAGACTTCTGCCAAACACTATTCGAGACCCGCGTCAGAAACGACGAGAATGCCGATTCTGTTCTCCGTGTTAGCTTCGAGCTGAACAATCATCTGTACAATACACACGACCGTAACCTCCCAGATGCTTTCAGAGAAAGAACCTTGGACTTCTACATCACTATATGTCACCGCCTGATGAAACAAAGGACACTTGTATCAGAAACAGACTCCCTTTTGAGCGCCTGCTGGTCCCTGGCAGAAATGCTTTTCAGCATACGTCAGAGTATCAAAGAAGGTAAAATGCTAGGTGAGGAATTGCTTGGTTCTGCAGTTCAGGCTTGTTGGGAACTATGCGATATCTTCCGTGAAGGTTGGACTCAACGTACTCTTCGAAACTCTGATCGAGGTACACCCCGGCCAAGTCAAGCAACCTTTACTACGCAGGTCGTTCAAAAACCGAACCCGTTGGAGTCTGGTTCGGTTGATGAGTTGATAAATCAACAAGGAAACCCCGAGACACCAACAACAATATTCGACGATACCGCAACCGTGTCGCCCGATGACGCACCAGTACAGAATATCTTCGTCTTGGGCCAAGGCCCAGGCCAGTCTTCGCACGCCTGGTCGTCTAATTCGTCTAATATCTCGGGTCAAAGCCAGTCTTCAGAACAAACATCTTCCACGCAGACGGTGAAGACATCATCCCGGGATCCAAACCTGGCATGTGTTCGGATATTAGTGACCCAGGCCGCAATAAATAGCGGATTCCAGCGCGTCGGGCCACATAGTTTTCCTTCATTCGTCAAGTCGCTTTCTTCGGACGCGTTTGGGTCCATGCCATGGCAGGTTGCACTCCTGAAGAATTACAAGCAATTGGTAGCATTCGATCCGACATTTAGGAGTGTGGGTCCCTCAGCTAGAGCGGGTGCAGCTGATGTGGCATGCGCTGTTGAAGTGATGATGCAGAGCGGGCAACATCTTTGGCTGCGCGATCTTTACCGTCTCGTGTTCGGATTTCACATCGAGGAAGCAGTAAGCCGGAAAGGTATGATGCTTCAAGTATAGCTCTTTGGCCCATATAGTTCCACACGTTGTCTGTTGTGCTGGTAACGTCCGGGTTCAGTTGCGTGCTCTCCATATGTCCGGCAAGCCTGATATGATTTAGAATATATAAAAAATTTATTACGAAATATTTTATTTATATGATTTTATAATTTGTTTTATCTTTTACAGGATCTCTCTATATAATCATTATTAACATTAGTCCAGTGCTACTAGACTAAGAGTATAATACTATACATCTTTTATTATTACTATTAATAAAACTATCAGACAAGATATATATATATATTACAGGCTACAAGAATTAATGGATCTAAATCTTTCTAACTTATTTCAGTAAGAAATATTTGAGAAATATTTTATCTAAAACAACTATTAGTAATTACAATTCTAACCAATAAGAATTGTTTACAGCCAGACTGATAATTGAAATAAGAAATGAATTTTTTAAAATTCATTTATAATATCAATTACTTTATTACAAGATTCCTTAAGTTATTTTTTCTTATTTGTGATAGGATCTACTTGTCAGGGTAGAAAGCCTGTCGACCAGGTAAGGAATCTGCCACGAAACACTATAGATTCGTAGAATAACGACAAGGTAGCCTATATCCACGGAGTAGACTGATTCCTTAGGGATCAGTAGTAGATTGATGAGGATCGCTACTATATACTGAACGGAACACTCGAGAACCACTGTCGATGACCTCATGACCCTGATGATCCCTATAATACGTCATTCCGATGCCTTTGGTTGCGGTCAGCCGGTTCACCGATCCGTTCTATTACATAGAAAAAGTTTTATAATTATATAAAACAGTTTAAGAGCTTCGCGGTAAACCAAATAATTTAATTATTTATAAAATATCTTCTGTAAGAGTAGACTAGTAAAAAACTAAATTTATAAAATAAAAAATTATATTATATATTAAAAAAAATAAATATATAAGCTTACAGACTGGAATTACCTGCGGGTATTTAAATTTATAATATATTTTATATTTCTTTACTTCGTGAGTATTATAAAATAAATAGAATAGATTTACAGGAGTATTTTTATTTATAAAAAGAATTTTATAAATATTATCTAAAGATATTACTTACTTTATAAAAGCAAAACCAGACTACAAAAATCTTGATTAAATAAAAAGAATATCTTAATAAAGATAATACTTAGGAGCCTGCTGTAAATCTATATTATTTATAATTATATAAAAAATTTATAGCCGGGGGACAGTCTTTATTATTAAAATAAAAAAAATAATAAAAATTATATTATCAAGATAAAAAAAATAATTATTTAATTTCCTGTAAACTTTAATTACTAGATATTCTTATATTATATATAAATAAAGTATTACTGCAAGACCAGAAGCAGGTTATATCAACTTTATAATATATATATTTTAATTAGCAGAATAAATATATCTAGTAACTAGCATAAAAATAATTATTATATTTTTAGTTATAATTATTATTAATATATATTATAAAAGCTAGGATATTATTTTAATTCTTATAATATATATTATACTCCTGATTAAAAGAAAGCAATACTCCAGCTTTAATTATAAAAATAATTTTATAAAGCTAAATATACTTCCCTAACTGTTCTTATAAAATATATTTAATAAAGAATATAAAACAGAAAATAAATATTATTATCTAATAATACTTCCAGTCAGAAAGAAACTTTTACTTCTTCCAGAAGAAGAGACCAGGCAGGATAACTAGATATATTATAAATGTTATAGGATCTACTTGTCAGGGTAGAAAGCCTGTCGACTAGGTAAGGAATCAATCACTAAACGCAATGGAGTTGTCTAGTAATGACAAAGATAGCCTATATTTACGAGATAGACTGATTCTTGAGGGATCAGTAATCTCTTATAAGAAAATCAATATTTTTTATTTATTAATAAAATGCAGAACTACTATTAATAATCTTATAATTCTTATAATTACTTTAATATATTATTCTAATATCTTTGGCTGCGGTTACTGGTTTACTGACTTATTTTATTATAAATAATATCCCTCTCGCTGAGCCGAACCGTCTGGGTTAATATATATAAGAATAATCTTATAATTATTTAATAAAGTAATAGTAATAGAAAGTTATTAAATAATAGGATAACTAGGATTAAAAACTTGTGGGGCCAGTATAATACTAATATAAAATATATTAGAATTTATATATATTAGTAATATTAGTCTGGTTTATATTAGAATCTATATTATTTACTTATTTTATAATATAAACAAGAACTTTTTTTATATATTATCTCTTTTTTCTTTTTATCTTATTTTTTTATCTATATCTTATTACTTTTTTTTATTTATTATATTATTTATTCTATCTTTATATTTTCTTTTATTTCTGTTAGTGTTTTGTAATTATAATCTTATTTTTATTAATATTTTTTTATTATTATTAATTTCTATTACTTTTTAAATAAGATACCCAGAGGAATCTGCCGCTTAATATAATATATATTTATTAAAATTTATTATAATTTCTGCATGCATTACCTCTGATATATTAATAATAATTTTAATCTGACTAAAAATACAGCTTATAATATTAGTTATTTTATAAATATACAGGCTTTTATCTTATATTATTTCTATTCTAATATAAAAAAATTATATAAATCTGTATATTTCCTGTAATTAATTAAAAAATTAATAATTAATATATTTAGATAATAACAGGAGTCCTGGGAAATACTTATAATCTAATAATAATTATTAAATAAATAACTAGTATATTAAAGTAGAAATATTAAAATAAGAATATAAAACTAATAATTTAAAAAGAAATTTTTATTTTATTTATTATATTTAATAATACAGAGGAAGTCTATACCTGTAAGTTTTATATAAAAAATTCTAAGATTATTAAATATATGAGTTATAAGATCTTAATAAGAATATATAAAATATAATAATTAATTATTCAGGATGCTATAGAAATATACTATTAAATATAATAAATTTCTTATATTATATTATTTTTTTCTGGCTCAATTAGTTCTCTATCTTAATTTAAATATTTTTATTAAGATATAGCAGTAATACAAGACAGAATTATTCTTATATTTTCTTTCTAGTGATATTAATTATATTAATTAAATCTTAATTCTTTATAATTTTATTAATATTATTAAGATTACAGTGTGTATCCAGTATCCTGATATATAAATTATAAAAAATTTAGATAATAAAAATAATAATAAAAGATTAAATATAGATCTTTAAATTTTTTATTTTAAGATTTTTTTCTTTATCTATATCCCGGCTCTGTAATGGATACCTAGTTATTAATAATATTTTAAAAATATATTAAAGAAAATACTAGCTAAATATATATAGATACTACCTGTTATTTTATAATAAAAGAATTTTTTAATATATTTTTTAATATATTTAATTATAGTTAATAGAAATACATGAAGTTTAATATAATTAAACAGATCTAAAAATAATAAATAATATAATTATAATTATTCTTTAATATTTTAATATTATATCCTGGCTGTGTACAGCTTTTTATATTTTTTTTAATAATTCTTTATAAATTTAGATATATTAGATATATTTATATTAAAGATTTATTAATTATATTTATTTAACCAGTCTTTTTATTTAATTAGATAATAATCTTAGCTATTATAATATTAATAATCTTTAATTTTCTTAATTTTCTATTTATTTTTATTATCTAGTTCTAGTATTAGAAGTGGTTCTTTATATTATCTTCTAATATTTTATAATTTTAATAAGAAAATATAAAATATATTATAAATTTATTTATATTTCTTAGATAAATATAAGTGATATACCTGGGATCTAATATATTTAAGAATCTAAAAAAATCTTATAAATTTCAGAATTAATTTTCTTGACTCTTTGAATCATAGATTTTAGATTAATAATTTTATTAAATTTCTTTTTTTAAAGGAGAATAGTCTTCTGTACTTATTATAATATTTTTTTTATTTTTTTATAATTATTTATTATATTCTTTATAGCTATTCTCTTATTTTATTAAATTTCTTAATTTTATTCTATACAGCTGGAACCTCTTACTATTAAGAATTATTCTTAATTCTGAGATAAAAGTTTAGTAAATAATTATATAAAATATTATAAAAAAATAAGCCTGTGGTTATATTATTTATATTATTATAAATAAATTAAGTAGTTAATAATATAACAGATTATTTAATATTAAATTAGCTGGAATAATATTAAAGATAATATTTAAAAATCTGGTTTATCTATTCTGTTTAATTATTAATTTATAAGTAAAATATTATTAAAAGCTTCAAGATTATATAGCTGTTATAAGCTAAATTTAACTAGAATTTATTAATAAAAATTAATTTTTAATTAGATATAATATCTGTTAGAGATCTGAAGACTAATTTAATCTATTTATAAAATAATTTAATAAAATTTAAAATAGTTATTATAGATAGAACAGCAAAGAAAAAACAGTATTTTAAAAATTAATTAATAATAATAAGAATAGTATTAATAGTTTTTCTATATTAGATAACTAGAGATAATTCTATAATAAAGTCTAATACTAATTTAGTAAAGAAATAAGATGGAATTAGTAATAATTTAAGATTTTTATATAATTAATATTTTAAAGTAATATTATCTTAATATATTAAATAAATTTAGATATATTCAGCTATATTATAATATAATCTATTTTAATAGAACTTTCTTTATAGCAGTACTTTTATTTATATTTTCCTGAAGTATTTTACTAACAGATTATTATGATATAGATAAATAAGTATCTGGTATAATATCTTAAATAAAAAAATATAATAATAATCTTTAAAATATAAATAGTCTATAATTTTGATTATCTAGTATTTCTAATCTAATTATCTTTATTAAATAATAGTTTTTTATTATTATATCTCTGGATCTTTATTCTACAAATATAAAATTATTTTTTAAAACTTAGAATTATATATATC